TTAAAAAAAGAACTTCAGGGAATCTTTTACCTACATTTCTTTGTGTGTTATAAGGACACCATGTGCATTATAAATACCCTTGAACAGACAGTTGCAAAGGTCTGTGGGTTGTGTCCAGGCTGCAGAGCTTAGGCAACTGAACATCACTATAGATAGGGATTTGGGTTCTTCTCCACTGGTTTTATTGCTGTAGCTTAAATGATTGTGTGCCCGCTCAAGTGGAAGCCAGACAGTGATCATGTGTCTTAGTTACTACTCTTGTTGTTGTGACAAGAAAAATACTGAGAAAAGCAACTTAAAGGAAAAAGGGTTGACTTGGGCTCACAGTTCAAGGTTCCAGTCCATCACGGTGGGGAAGTCCTGATAACAGAAGCTTATGGAAGTTGGTCAGGTTGCATTATCAGTCAAGAGGAAGATGAATACCCATGCTCAGCTTAATCTTTTCTTTTTTTATACAGTTCAGTCCCCCGGACCAACGAATGTGCCATCCTTATTTAGGGTAGATCTTCCTGGCTCAACTAACCTATTCAAGATAACCCCCTTAAAGGCATGCTCCAAATATCTAGAGAAAAAAAATCTCCTCTCTTACTCAGTTTCCTCATCTGTACAATATGACTTGATTCTAACTTGGGGTCACTGCATGAACTGACTTAATTGATGTAGGAACATGTTTTAGCAGAAGGCTGCCACACGTGGTTGTCCTTAATCACCCACTTGACACTGATGGCTTCCACCGGTGCACCTCGTAATGAGGCGTTCTCTCCAATATGCCTGAGGAGTCAGGGGCCTGCATCTACACCTCTGTCTGAGGAATTCACAATCTTCTCTGTTTGTGATAAGTTTCTCTGCCTCAGGAAGGGCTCTGTTCCCGAGCACTAGGTCTTGAGGTAGAAGATCACAGCTGTCATTATTGCACTTGTCAAGGGGGCAATTACAGAGACAGCCAGGGACGGTCTGGTGCTTACGGAAGGCACAAGCTTGGAGCACGAAGGTCTGATGAGGCAACAGATGCACCCTCATGCCTGACACAGAGCCATTTCTGTGAGCTTGTTGGCTGTCAAAAGTTGTTTAGCTCCCCATGAGCTCCAAAGAATATAATCTATTATTTGCTCAAAACCAGATTTCTTGAGGTAACTATAAACCCCAGCCTTGAATCAGACTGACAGCTCTGTGGGAGCCTGGCCTGACTGTGTGTACGATAATGACAGGGCTGTGTTTACAGCTGGCACTGGCAACCCCATTGATTTTCCTTCAGTAGAATTGGACCATCAATGAGGGTAATGACCCTAGTGGACCAGCAATGTGAATACTACATTCAATTTGCATCAGTGGAATCGAGAAGTCCAAATGTGCATGTTTAGAAGCTGCCTCCACTGCTCTGCACCTTCACCCTCCCTGACTCTAGCACCCCTGGTTAAGGGCACAGAGACTTCTTCCCTACAGCACTGACCCTCAGCAGTTCTGATCCTCACATAGAAGACTGTAATTAAACATGACCAATGCACCTGCCAGCCTGGAGTATGGGATTCAAGCTCTGGGCGAACAAGAAGCGGGAGACTCATGCCTCCCTTGCCCTAATAGCTGACATTTAGCACCAGTCCTGAGTCAGTGGAGTCAAATCAGGCTGAGTGCACCATGCAGGGGCCTGTCCTGTCAACTTTTCTCTTGTGGCTGTCCTCCCTTTCCCAACACTGCATGGACATTCATTATGGGAAGTTCATTACTGTTCCCTTTGCGTTCTGATCACACCCCAGGACTTTACAAAGGAACAAAGTGTATTGGATTCGCACTTCCCAGTCATCCTCATTATCGCCTGCCCATTGCCAGAGTTCACACTGAACACAAACAGAAAGATTCAGATTTTTTTTTCCTGAACCTGTTTTCTGGAATGTTCTCAGAAAGGGGCCTCAAATAATGGTATAGATAAGACATTTAAAAGTTAACATCAATAAAAAAAACATAATAAAAAGGACTGGAGAGATGGCTCAGCGGTTAAGAGCATTGCCTGCTCTTCCAAAGGTCCTGAGTTCAATTCCCAGCAACCACATGGTGGCTCACAACCATCTGAAATGAGATCGGATGCTCTCTTCTGGCCTGCAGGCAGACATACAGACAGAATATTGTATACAAAATAAATAAATAAATATTTTAAAAAACCAAAATAATAACACCAAACAAAAACCCTAAATCAATGCAGCAAATGAATAGCAAAATAAAAACACTGCATCAAAATAAAATAAAAAATGAAAGCTAACATATCATCTGCTAACATAGATATTGCACACACACACACACA